GTTGGCAGCATCCCTGGGCCCGACCCAGATGCAACCCTTGTTCCTAACTCAGATCGGCCCCCAAGTCCTGGCTTGGGGCTTGTTCCAGATGTGAATCCAACTCTGAGTCCTGACCCAGGGGAGGCCCCTGGCCTAGTGACAGATAACACCCCTGGACTTGCTGATAGCAGGGCCACCACCCCAGGCTCCCTCCAGACCTGCACTTCCTGTTCTGTGGCGACCCTGGACCTGGACGTGAATCATGTCTTAAGGCCTGACCTACAGGGCCCGTCTCCAGCCTTAAGCCCTACTCCCAGCCCTGGCTCTCCTGAGACCCTCGACCTGGGCTCCAGGAGCCCCTCTGGGCAGAGTTCTGAGGAGACCTTCCCATCCCTGTCCCGGAGCAAGAGTTTTGAGCTGGCTCACAGGGACTCCAATCCTAGGCCTGGGTCAAACCCATTTATAAGGCTTCATTCAAGAGGAAGCCTGGCTCTTGGCCACTTCCTCTCCAGGCTGGGCTCACAAGCGCTGCTCCTGCCGACCTCTGACACGTCTCTGGGGTCCCACTCCAGCCAGACCCTCAGCCAGGGCAGCAGAAAAGTCTCCAAGCAGAGCCTGAACCTTGCCACAGGTTCTTGCGGGGCCCTAATCCTGGACACAAGTGAGCTGGTCACGTTGGCATCCCATAACCTCTCCGAAAGTGTTCTGAAAGGAGCCTTTGGGGCAACCTGGAGCATAGCTTCCCAGGGGACACTCAACGTGGCTTGTCCCAGATCCAGTCTGAACATGACCGTCATGCAGGCCTCGAGCCTGACGCTGATTCCCCACTCCAGCGATCGTACCAGCCTGAGCTCCAGCACCCACGGGTCCAACTCCACCTTCTCTGCATCCTCGTGCCTGACCCTGATCCTCCGCTCCAAGGAGACCCTGAGCTCCAGCCTCTTGATGAGGGACACCTCCACCCTGTCGCTGAGCAGCCTGCACGAAGGTTCCAGTTCTGACAACAACAGCGTCCTCACCACTTCCCTGGAGAACCGAGAGCGATGGGGCGAGGGGCACAGTGTGGACGGGGACGAGGACCCGCCCCGGCCATCCACCTCCAACACCGGCCATCCACCTCCAACACCGGGGA